ATTTATTCTTGCATAACCATACGGTCGAAACCACAGCAAACCATGCTACCTGCCATCCACCACTGTCTTTCTTTCTTTTGTAAGTCCCAACATGTTGCTGAAAAGCCTCCTCTAAATTGCAGTACATAACATAATTCAACCCCCACCATCTTAAGTATTTCATCCATAATTTCCAAGCATGTATGTAATTTAGGAACAAATGATTCACACTCTTGATGCGCGACCCACACACACATATGACATATTGCTTGAGATTCCTCCTTCAATATTTCTCTAGCTATCAAATTGTCTTTAGTTGGGATTCGTTTGTGTAAAAATTACCACATAAAAGCATATACCTTCTTCAAGACTAAAGGATTCCAGCATTTCTTCAAAACTTCAGATCCATCCTGTTCCGAGGGGTGCAATAGGAACTTGTAAGCTGATTTCACAGAGTATTTTCCATCATTCTTCCATAACCAAATCCATATATCTTCATTGTTAACCATTGTTAGCCCACTAGTTTGTTCTCCTACAAAAACTCCACAAGTTGAGCAATGCTCTCTTATTCTCCCTGGTGTAGTTGGCGTCTCCACTTGAGGTCCCACAACTTGGAATTGTTCCTCTATAATCCCATTAACTATGATGTCTTTATCTGCAACTAGCTAAAACAATCTTGAAAACCTCTCATAGAGATTAAAATTTCCCATCCAATTATGCTTCCAAAACAAAGCATCTTTCCCATTCCCTAATCTTAATCTAAAACTCTCTATCAACCATCCCTCAGACCCTTCCAGCACCCTATTTAAACTACAAATACTTCGCCACCATTGTGATCCCCATGTAGTACTGTCCCTAGCCCATTCTACCCAGTTACCATCCTTCACTTCATATTTCTCTTCAAGCCCCTTTCTCCATATTCCCCCCTCTTCACATAATAACCTACTTCACCATTTTCTTAACAAAGAGATGTAAAAAACTCTAAGATTCTTAACAGCTAGATCTCCTATCAATTTTTCCTTAGCAAATATTCTCCCACTTTACCCAATAAATCCTTTTTCTCTCCAAGCCCCCACAAAAAACCCCTCTTTATTGAATTTATCATTTTAATAACATATTTTGAGACAAGGTACATTGAAATGAGAAATATCAGAAAGCTTGAAATTAAAGCATAGAATTTAATAAGACAATTCTTCAGCAAAAGACAGAAACATCCATAATGAATTCCTTTTACGTTTTGATTTATTATGATTATTTAAGTTTTTATTTATTTATTTTATTAATACTGCTGCAGATAGCCTCCAATGGTGAGTATAAAAGTGTGCAACATCGGGTGTTGGCCAACTCCGATAAGAACCCACGAATTTCGGTGGTTGAATTCTTCAATCTGAGCAAATGGAAAGGAAATGGTTACTATGGACCATTGCCGGAGTTGCTATCGGCAGAGAAACCAGCGATTTATCGTAATTTTACCGAACAAGAGTTCCTTGAGAATTTCTACAGCAAGGGGTATGATAGCAAATCCCTCATTGAAAAAATCAAAATTGAGAGCTAAATGATTAAATTTCAAATTGTGTCTACGTACTACAGTTAAAATTACGTATATGGGCTTTATAACTTTTACAAATTATTCTATATTATTAAACAATAATCAACTTCATGTTGATTTATTATGTATCGAATTCAAGTTTAGGTGACTTTTGATGAAAACATGCATTATGTGTACTGAAACATTTAGCTGAATGTTTTCTTCAAGGGGTGTCAAATTAAACTTAATTATAGAAGCTAAATGTTGAGATATATGTATATATTGCTTAATTAAGGTCTTGTTAATCGATCTCAAGTGTTGGATTTACTACAATTAAGTAAATATTATTTCATATGATAAATTTAGGGTTTGAATGTTAGTTAGATGTGAGACTGTGCTCTTAATTAAGATCATTCAATAAGTAATCTGTCTCAATGTACATGAAAATTAACTTATTGACACCTTAAGTGTACAAACCAAAAAACTAAAATCTTGTTTGATTTAAAACTACTTTATTTTGTAGTTCAAATTGCAAAACAATGCCATTGAATGAGAGAAGACCTTCAATATCAAGGGTCCATTCTCATCCAATGATTAGTGTTATATAGTCTGAACATAACATTTTTTTTTTAATTTAATATGGATATTAATTTTTTTAAATGTATTATATTATTTGGACTGCATAACTTTTATTAGCATAACTTTTATTATTGAATAGGATTAGGTTTCTTGATATTGAAAGCTTTTTTCTATTTAATAATTTTTATTTTATAGTTCAGTATAGTTTAAATTATAAGAAATTGTTAATTTATAGCTAAACATCTAAATTAGTTATAAATATAATAATTTTATAGCTAAAATAAATTTATTATTGTTATGAACTTTTAATATTTATAGGTAAATGACTCAATTAACTATAATGTAATTGTCATGATTATTAGTTTGTAACTAAAAGGCGTAC